AATCAATAATACCACTTTTACTATCAGCTAAATATAGTGCTATTAGAGCCATTCTTGGTTGATCATTGTTTTCAAAAGTCTACATTTTTAATGTTGCTGATGCTGAACACCTAAGTCCGTGGATCAGTGGAGGACAAACAGCTGAGACCTGACCTTGTGATTGTATACCCTAGGTTAAAAAGCCCCCTCCAGCGAGGATGTTCAGCTGTGGGGCTTGTTTAGATTGAGCACACTGATAGATTTCCAAATGTCTTTGGTTTTTCATGGATTATATATTCCATGCTATCCTCTGGGTTGTAGCTTGCTTCTAGGAGCTCTGTCCTTTCCTATCTTTGATTTCTAATAGCCTCATTTTCAGAAAGTGCAAATCTATCTATGCATCAAAATTTAAACCTTGGGGTTTAACTTGTATTTAAACACAGTTTCTAGGACCTGAGTGTTTTAAAATGCTTGAACACTGTGAGTAGGGGAGTGGGGGAGGTAATATTTTTTAAATGATTCTTACAATTCTAGTAAATATTTAGTTTTATTTTTTATGGACTTAAAATACAAAAATTAATAGTCTCTTAAAACTAGAATAAAGATATATACTCATAACAAATTAGTGTTAATTGCTCTTATAAAATACAGCAGTTAAGTCTTCTAATAAATCTTTTCTATGACCAAAATCTAACCCTTTACATGCTAACAAATGTACAGGGTAAACTGCTCTGTTTGCCTCATTGTTTTCTGCCTCCATGCCTATTTTGCTATGCAAAAGCTTTATGTCAATTTACTTTTTGAGCCGTTTAAGACCAAACCAAATTATTCTTTCAGCACATTTTAAACAATCCCTTAAAGACCTCTTTTTCTTGGCTATGTTTCCAATCTTGGCTTATCACTATAATATTTCATGCTCCATGCTTCTGAAAAAATTCAATATTCAAGAACAAAGTAATCCAGAGCTTTACTTCATTTCAGTCTTTTTATGTCCTAAGGCTGTCCCAACTCAATGACCCAGTTTTTATTGTGTCACATCTCACTGTCTGTTGCAGACTGCGACCAGCTTGCCTAATCCTTTTCCTGTCCCTTATCAGTTTTCCCTTAATTCAAAAATCTTTTTTTTTTTAATTCTTTGCACTTCTCCTTTCACAGCTTTTAAATTTCTTTTTCCTCCTCCTTCTCAGGAGACTCAATGCTCCTGTGGTAGGTACTCAGCAATACAAGCAGGTAACCAAAGTCCATGAGCCTGTCCTTGTCAGAACATTATTTGTATTATTTTTAGAATAGTGGGTAGCAAATGATAGAAAGTGGATATTATAATTTGGCAATATGTACTAAGAGTCCTTAAAAATGTTCATACCTTATGATCTGCAATTTTACTTCTGATAATCTGGCTTATTAATTTAAAAAAAATCACCTAACTCGGGCGTAGCTGTGCATGTCTGTAATCCCAACAGCTCAGGAGGCTGAGGTAGGAGGATTGTGAGTTCAAAGCCAGCCTCAGCAACTTAGTCAGGTTCTAAGCAACTTAATGAGACTCTGTCTCTAAATACAATATTAAAAAATGGCTGGGGATGTGGCTCAGTGGTTAAGTGTCTCTGGGTTCAATCCCTAGTACCAAAAAAGAAAAAAAAAAAAACAGAATCACCTAAGATATGTAAAAAGCTATACTTATGTATATATGTATGTGTGTATATGCAAAAGAAGAAAACAATACAAATACTCAATAATAGGAGATAAGTTAAATTATGGTCCATGTACTTGATAAAATAATGTGCAATCATTTAAGATGATGGCAATGTGACAATGTAGATACATGAGTAAATAATTACACTGTTCTCAGAAAAGCAGGATACAAAATTGAAAGTGCCTATGATCACATCTTTTTTTTTTTTTTTTTGGTAGTACTGAGGATTGAACCCAGAGGTGCTTTACCACTGAATACATCCCCAGCCTCTCTTATTTTTGATTTTGAGATAGGATCTCACAAAGTTGCTGATGATGACCTGGAAGATGAGATCCTCCTATCTCAACTTCCTGAATTGCTTGGGATTATAGGCACATGCCATCATGTCCAGTAAAATTGTTTTTAAAAAAGCACTTACAGAGCACTTTTGCCAACAGTTGCTATTTTGGAATGGTAGAACAACAGATGATTTTTTTCCACTCTCAAAATCTTGTGATTTTTATTTAAATTTTTTAAAACTGGAATCTTGCTGGGCATGATGGTACATACCTGTAATCCTAGGAACTCAGGAGGCTGAGGCAGGAGGATGGCAAGTTCAAGGCCAGCCTCAGCAATTTAATGAGGCTCTAAACAACTTGGAAGACTCTGTCTCAAAATAAAAAATAAGAAGGGCTGGGGATGTGGCTCAGTGGTAAAGCACCCCTGGGTTCAATTCCCATTGCCAAAATTAATAAACTATAATCTTAACTGATTAAAATAAGAATAATGTAAGTAGATTAAGTCTAGCATAACTTAAATTTAATAATAATGTAATAACTGGGGAAGGAAAGCAAAGAGAGTATGTCATTTTATTTTCCATTGTAGTCATCTCTGAAAGGGAGAATTGGGAAAGAGTTCTCAATACCTATTTTAAACCATAAAATTATTTTTTAAAAATTTAGTAGGTTCTATTTTCTTGTCAAGTTTTACTGTCCCTGACTTGATCCAGGCCAGCTTGTTGTCTCCTAAAGTACTTCAAGTTCTTGTTGGTCTACCTCTAGTCCAACCTTTTCAAATAATTTCCCACACTGTCTTCAGAGAGATCTTTCTGAAACCCAAATAAGTTTATGATACTGCACTGTTTAATCTATTCAGGGATTCAGAATTTTCAAATCTTTATTTTAGCACCTCCCAAGCTTCTCTGCCTCATTCTGTGTCATTTCTTCTCTTTGCGCCAGTTTTGCCCCAACTTCTTGTAATACCTGCTATGGTACTCACAGTCATTATTGCCTTTACCTCTCACTCCTGCGCTAAGTACCCACTCATTCTTCAGATCTCAATTGTCATTTTCTTTGAGAAGGCTTTCTGGATTCTTGGTCTCATGGAGACATCCCTTTCTCTGTAATCCACTGTGCCTCACCACACAGTGTGATCACTCACTTGCCTATCTGTCTTTTCTACCAGACAATCAACTTCTTGTTTGTACTGGCAGGTGAGAGTGAGCATGTATACATTTAACCTGATATCGACTCCTCCCTTTCATTGTGGATGCTAATCAATGTTGATGAAAAGCTAATGTGCTAACCTGGATGAGCACAGAGAGGAATGCAGGGGAAGCCAAGGGTTTATTATCCTCAGGTACTTAAAGGGGTAGTAACTCATTCAGTATACCTCCCTGATAACTCATTCAGTATACCTCCCTGCTAAAAAACATTTGTTGTGCAAATGTTTTACCTTCCTAATATCATAACCCTGAGAACTGGAAGCCATCTTGTATGTGAACCCTTGAGTATTTCTTGTATATACTTGGCATGCATTCAAACACATATTAAAGTAATAAATTTCAATATTTTAAAATCATTTTAATATAAAGGAATTCATACCTACTTAGGTCTCTGATGAGAAAAAACAAATGAGAGAAAATATGTGGAAAACAAAATACTTGTAAAGCTCAACATCTTATCTAGAAAATTTCAGAACAGTTTCGTCATGCCCTTGTAGAAAAGTAGAAAAGCATATAAAAAGATTCAAATGAAATCAAGATGAAGACTGCCTAGACATTGAATGTGGTAACATGTAAATATCTGCTCTACCTCAATTTTATTCACTTTAGATAGAAAATGAGGAATACTCCAAGAAAAGTTACTTGCTCGGCATAACACAAAAGTCGTGGTTATTGATTAGATAAGAAACAAATGACCTGGTCATGGTGTCAAATTTCATTCTTTGTTTCTTTGTTCCTACCTTACTATCTCTGTATTTTAAACAATGTGTTTATTACAGCAAAAGTATCTGAAATTTTTAATAAAGCAAACCATTTTCTCAAAATTTTTACCATCTTAAGAATTTTTATAATGGCTAACATTTCAGTTAAAATCATAAACTAAATTCTTAATCATAAACTTAGGGTTAAATATACCCAAGCCTCTGCTATTTAAAATAAAACTCCAGAAACAATTTGGAAATAGTAAAGTCTTTCTGGATCATCCTAATTTATATGCTTTGTAGATTTAAATTTATGTTTTCTTATAGAATCATCTGTTTCTATCTGAAAAATAAATGCAAACAATGTGAGGTCTTGAAAAATATTCAGAGAATTATATTTTGAATTTCAAATTATTACAGTATATCTCATGAGTACTCTGAGAAAGACTAATTAGTCACTGCATGGGGGAAAATCTTTGACTAAACTTATATATAATAATAAAAAGCAGAAATAATAAAATTAGCACAATAGTTTGATCAGGTATAATCAAGAATGAATGGAAAACAAAGACTTTTTTTTAAAGTAAGCACTATTAGAATGAATAAGGCAAATTATGGAAACCCAAAGAAAAGCATGAATTGCAAAAAAAAGAAAAAGAAAATTAGGATAGCTTTTAAAATAGCTACTATTCCTTCAGTAAAATTCATTATGTATAAAGGTATACTTCCCTGTAGGAATGAAAATCTAAGATAAAAATATTATGTTCCTTCAGACAACCCAATATCACTAGAAAATAATGTTCAGATATACCCACACAACTTTCTTTTTAATCTATTTAAATTCCTTTCTTCTATTTGCAAAGAAACATGCTCATTTAGGATCATGAGCCTTTGGCCAACTTAGCTCTCAAATCAAGCCTCTTGTGAATTTAATGGATCTATAGGAGCTCTTCAATGAATAATGATCTAGTAGATGATATCACAAGGGTTAATTTAATGTGTTTACTACAGAATCTGCTGCATAGATGGAGCTCTGACATTTTTTTCCTCCTTCATTTCCCTGCAATTCTGTAACCAAAACAGAACAGAACAGAACAAAACAAAACAAAACAAAACCATAGCACAATAGAATTACACAACACAGGAATGATCTGTTGCTTATCCTTTAGCATAAATAGTTTATAATTTATTGTAAAAACATTTTGTGTACCATCATCACAAATACTGAAAATGAGCTTATGAAAGTTACAATTTTATCACAAAAATATTTCCTAAATACCATGATAATCCACCTGTCTTCTTCTTTATCTCATTATAACACACTAAAATGAGGGTTAGAATTTAATTTAACCTAGCCGACTTGAAGATTTGGTCTCTTGGTTTATACATATAGTCTAATACCATTTTCATTTCAAGATACATGGTCAAATGTACAACCAAGATATGGGTAACTGACAAATTTACATAGGAGCTCTTCAATGAATATTGATCATTGAAACATAGAAACATACACACTTCTAGTTATAGATTCTAACTAGAAATATTACAGTAAAACTGGTAAGCACAACTACAATAGACAGATACCTACACACCTGAAAAAATCAACAACAACAAAACTTTAGCATCAGGTGGACACATCTAGGTCTTAGGATCAGTATACTGCTTTTGTGTACTGTACAAGGTCTTACTGCCCCGAAATCTGGGGGTTTCAGAGCTAGATAGCACGCAACTCAAAAAACTTGCTTTGTCCTTTTTTCATGCTATATCTCTGAGTTTCCCCCTAACTCTTGTAGTCTTCTAAAATCATCTTTCAGATTTTCACTTAATAGCAATGAATCAAATCTCTTGTATACATGACCTCATTCTTCTATTGTCTCCTCTGTTTGCAGACAGCCGATCAAAGTCCTGGAGATGGAAACGAACTGCCAACTGATTGACCATTTTCCTCAAGGTAAGAAACGCTGAAATAACTTGGAATGTAAGGAAGATAGTGAAGATGATATGAATTGCTTTTTCCAAGGGCAGATTCGTTAGGCCTTCATTAAAGAGCAAGAAAAGAATTAAAGGCAACTGTAGTAGAAGGCTCAAAAGCCAAAAGCCAGCCAACTCAGGAACCTGCAATGATACACATAAATATGATTATATCAGGAAAATGCAATGTTTTGTTTATACACATAAATGAGTACTTAGCACTACTATGAACCTATGGTATGGGCTCTAAGAGTAATTCAAAAGGAATATGACGTGGTCTTTGTCCTTAGAGATCTTACTGTGTAATAAAAACAGGACTAGAATAGTACACTTTAGTCAATGATTAAATGCAACATTTATATGTATATATGCTACAAGAAGACAATGTTAGCGGAGGTGAAAGAAAGATATCAAGGAGCTATTCTTTTAAAGTTGTGCAGAGGGAAGAAGGCAAATAAGCAAACATGTGAAATGAGCATGACTCAACTGGAAATCATCACATTGGCCTGGAATGGATTGCTGTTAAGAAATGACAAGAAATTCAGTAAGATATGCTGGGTGTGGCCTAATTATGAAGTCCTAAAAAACCACAAAATTATCCCAATACTCTGGTAACTGCAAATGCTTTTGCTTAGGCAGTACAATGATTCAAAAAACATGGGCCTGGCAAAGGAAATTAATTTAGGATTTTTCTCATTTTCTTATTCAGGATCCAAACAGACATATTTAATTGACCAAGTATTTTCAAGGCCAATATGAAGATGAAAACTTATCAATTCTTAATTGCTTACTATATCCAAATACTTTACATAAATCATTTCACTTAGTCTCAACAAGCTTGTAAAATTAATATTATTTTCTTCATCTTATATTTAGAGAAACCAGAGCTCAAGAGATTCAGCAAACAGACTTCAGTGAGAGGAGAGGTCAAGTTGGAGCCAGGCCTTAAATTCAGGCCTGTGCTCCTTCCACCACCTCTCAATGCCTTGTACTTACATGAAAACCTTGTTGCATTTATGGGTAGCCCTAAGAGAAAGGGAAGGGCCTACCTTCTCCTGTAGGTTTCCCATGTAGCCCAGGTACAACCGGATGGCTTCAATTAAGGTTATTAGGATGATAACAGTGATCACAATGAATTTGTAGTAATCAGGCAAAACTGAATACTGAAAACATAAAAAAAGGAAAACATGTTTGTAAAATCTCACATACAGTAACACTGACCTGAGATTTTTAAAAAAAAGATTAAGAACTTTAATTTTATTGACAATGGAACAATGTCAGGGATGAGCAGAAGAACCCTCAGTGGTAAAGCACAGACTTACCTTCATGTGAAGCATCATAATACAGCTCACCCACCAAAGTGGGAAAAAGTAAGTGTTAAAATAAAGCGACATCTGCAATGCCAAACTGGAGACCATTTCATTATCTACATAAGAAAGAGAAAAGGAACAAACTCTTAATCCTGATCCCTGCCCTATAACTCCTTTCATTCCTGAGAATCCATAACTGTAATATTGGCTCAATAAAACTACAAATTTTAGGCCTCTTTATAATTTTTGAAAGTAAAAGGTATATTCATCTTAACACCATTTAGTTCAAATATTGGTTACTTGGGGGTATGTTTCAAATTCTTCAGTTACTTATCTTGCCATTACAGTCTGCTGACTTTTTTGCACATTACTGGTATAGATTAAATGTGGAATATCAAGATGAGTCCTGTTGAACAGATAATAATTATCATTTCCTCCTCTGTAGACTTCTGTGAAGTCTATAAAATGAATGCATAAATACATAAAAATGAATCACAGATAAACTAATCCCATACAAAGCTAATCTCCTCAAATTGTAGGCACATACCCTAATCCTATGCATTCTTTAATGCCCAAGCCAATGCTACCTTTCCCATAAATCCTTTCTTGATCATATTCTCCCACCCCAGCAGAAATGTCTTTCCCTTTTAGGTACTTATTACTTTATACTGTGTATGACAGTGCTGGCATAGAACCATTCTCCCCTCACCCAGTCTAGTACATTGAAGAGACCATGGGCTTTAGGTCCATGTAAACCCAGAACTCCCCACGATCCTGTGAGCCTGGATGCCAGGCATGGGATAAATCATTTAACCTTTTAAAGCCTTAATTTCATCTATAAAATGATATTACAATTACCTTACCCACTGCTTGTGAGGACTAGAAATACAAATTACTTCACCTTGGCACCTGCACACTTAGTAAACACTCAACAAATATTTGTCCCCCTTCCTTTTCTATGTGAATATAGTTTCATTGTAAGCACAGACATATCCTACCCAGATTTGAGACCCTCATAGAACTGAGTATCTTGCTTTGTACTTTGTGAATACCAAATACACATAAGCAGAAAGAATGACTTGATGAAAACATAAATATTCATTATCAGGGTAGCCATTGTGATAGTAAGTCTCATTTATCTAAGTTGTTCACACAATACCTTCTGTTTTCATGTAAAGGAGAAGAGCACAAAATTAAGAATTTAACTTTTTAAAATTGAGCCCTACAAGATACTTCCTAAATCTGTTTTTAAGAGCTGATATATATTTTGAAATTGATTGCTCTAAATGTAAGGTTTTACAAAGGTCTAATGTAAATTTCTTAAAAACATTCCTATTTTCTTTTCCCATACGTAAATATTTATGGGTCATTTAGTAATTTTTAAATAAGAAATAACCATGGTCTCTCACAGAAAAATGGTTTCCTTTAGCTTCAAGAATATACCTGGTTATTATGATCTTTTGCTTATACCAATTTACTAAATTACTACTGATAAAGGAATGAATTCTTTAAAAAATCGGTTAAGTCAAAAGAAAACTCACTAGTCCAGTATTTTTTTTTTTATAACAACAGTATAATTCTTGGCCAGGTGTGAACTGAGAATGATATGAACTTGTTAATACATACAAATAATCAAAACTATTTCAGATCTACAAAGAAGAAAATGTGGAAAAATAATAATGCATTAATTAAGTTGAAAATTTTAGTTTAAACTTTGGGGCAGTGGCTGTTAAAATTTCGCAAAGAACAATTTTTTATGTTACAATTTTATTACATGAACATCTTAAAAGTTACACTATGTCTATATTTCAGCAGATCAAAGTTATAATCATGCAATTCAAAATCAAATTAATATGTAAATGAACTTTGAAAGCACAAGACACAAATTTACTAAATTTTGCAAAATGTTGAGTTCTGTAAATGGAATTTAAATTAAAACGTTATATAATCCGGCAGGCAAACTACTGGCCAACTGCCTATTTTCATACAGTTGGTAAGCTAAAAGTAGTTTTTCTTATGTTTAAAAGGTTGGGGGGCGGTGGGAAGCAATATTTTGTGACACTAGAAAAACATATGAAATTTAAATTTCAGTGTCCATAAAGTTTTATTGGTTTAGAGTCATGCCCATACAATTACTATTGCCTATGGCTGCTGCAGAGAACATATGGCCTGCAAAGTGTGAAATATTTATTATCTGGCCCTTTTCAGTAAATATTTGCTGACCCCTAATGCCTTGTATTATCAGATGTTAGTGTCTGTTAATCCTTACCCTTGGAATCACAAAAGACAAAACCTAATTTTTCACATTATTCTCTGCACATTTTAGATCATAAAAAGGCCCACATTTGGGGACTAGGCACGTGATCACGATGACAAGATCCAATCATGGGAACTAACTTTGCCTTTCTCTGCCCCGTTGTAAAAATTCCTAAAGCAGAGGAAAAGCGTGCTGTTTCCCTGCTGAGCTCAAGGATGAAAACCACACAGGTTTGGTTGACAGTGTGCTGTCTATCATCATAATTTAAGGGCTGTAAACTGTTTCGGAGGAAACTGTATTTTCACTTGTCATCAGGTTGAATGTAGCATCTTTACGTTGTGGTATTTTTGTTACTAGATTTTGGGGGAAGAGTTATATATAGGAGAGGAGAAGGAGGCAGGGGAGATGGGAGTTTTGATGAAGGCCTCGTTAGTATGGCAGCTGACACTCCAGTGGATGGAGGTTTACAATAACTCATTAAAATTCTTTCTTTTTCCACTTCTTCTGCTGGAAAACGGCCTCGTGCGGAACGTATTCTTTCTGCTAGAAAAGGGCAAAAGGCAAGACTATGTCACCGGGGTGGGGTCTGAGGGGTCAGGAAGGGGAGATGCTTTGGCGGTTCCGCGATCCTGGCTGGAAATGCGCGGCGGGCGGTGCAGAGGAAAAGCAACGTTGGCTTTGGCGGACGGGTGTGCTGTGAAGGAGGCGTTTTTATTTTTATTTGAGTCCCCTCCCAGGCAGCTCACGCGGCACTCTCTCAGCTGCCGCGTTTGCAATGCACCGGCCAGGTGGCACACGACCAGACCAGGCCGGGCTCGAGGCGGGGGCCTGTACCGGCCCCGGCCTCAGCACCCGCGCCCAGCTCCTCCTCCAAGGGGCTCCCCGCACCGCGGAGAACCCGCTGAAGGCGAAATCGCCATTTTAGGTCCGGGCAAAATCTGGACGTTCCAAAACCCGCGCGGCCACACCCATCGGGCCTCGGCCACTCACCCGGACCCTCACTGTACTCCGGCCCGGTCCGGCTGGAGTCGCTGAATACGGTTCGGCTGAAGTTTCCCAGCCGCTGGCGCACTGGATCCGGGAGCTCCATGTTTGGGCCTCAGTGTCCCTCGCCCCCTCAGACTCTGGCTGGTCCGCTGGCGCAGCCGCGCTCCGCGGTTCCCACGGCAACCCGGCGGTGTGAGGCGCGGCGGACCCCGGGCACGCGCTGGCAGCCTCATTTGGAGCCCGAGCGCCTGGCAGGGAGAGGTCGGCAGAGAGCTGGTTCCAGGCCCTAGGAGCCCAGCACCCCAGCAGGGCTCCAGACGGCAGATCCCTTAGTCCCGTCTTAAGCCCCACCGTCTTAAAAATAATCAGAAGTCATTATAAACCACCTGAGGTTGGACTGCACCACCAGGCGCGCTCAAACCTTGCCAGTGGGACTGTAAATTAGTGCAGCCTTTCTAAAGAAAAATATAGAATGAATGCTGAACCTAAAGATTGTTCAAGACTCAGTAGCTGTGTGTGTGTGTGTGTGTGTGTGTGTGTGTGTGTAAAATGTACGGAAAAGATGGAGTGTGTGCGTGAGCTCACTGGCTTTAAGAAAACAAAAAAGGACTGAAAGGAAATAATCTGAAATATTAATAGTAATTTATCTCTGGATGGTGGAATTGTGGGTGATTCAAAAATTTTTTGGGGGGGCATATTTGTGTTTCCTTGCTTTCTCTTAAGATGTATTATTTAGGGGCTGGTGTTGTGTCTCAGTGGTAGAGCGCTTGCTTAGCATGTGTGTGAGGCACGTGTTCTCTTCTCAGCATCACATGTAAATAAAGGTGCATTGACAACTAAAAAAAAATTTTTATTTAAATAAAAAGATATATTACTTAAACAAATAAAATCATATAAGTGTAATATAGAGAAAGGCACAAACTGAATGAATTGACATCTAGGTCAAAAAACTGAAAGGGCTAAGGATGTAGCTCAGTTGGTAGAGTGCTTTCCCCAACACCACAAAAACAAAACAAAACAAACAACAACAACAACAACAACAAAAAACCTGATCCTTACTTGCATCCCGGGGAGCTCTTCCTTCCTATTCCCTTTATGTCTCTCAGCATAGGACAATTTTACCAATTTTTATACTTCATATTAAAGCAATTACACAGTAGGAACTTTAAATAAAATCTGGTTCTCAAACTTAGAAAGTCAAGGGTCATATGTTTTCTCTCATATATGGAAGCTACAGAGGAAAAAAGCAAAAGAAATGGAAGGAGGGGATCTTATGAGAATCAAAGGGAGATCAGTAGACCCCAGGGAGGAAGGAAGAGAGGAAAAGGGGAAATACTGGGGAATTATATAGGCCATATTATATTGTTATATTGTGTGCATATACAAATATATAACAATGAATCCCAACATTATGTACAACTAGTATGGAGCAATTATAAATAGTGCTGCTTTTGGTAAAAAGATGCCATATGGATGCACTTGTGTTGAGTGGAAATTGCTGGAGAGAAGATGCTGTAAGACCCAGCTTTAGTAGGGATTGCCAACAGTTTTCTAAAAGGATCGTACCAATTCCTACTCTTTCCAGCAATGTATGAATTCCCTTTTACTTCATATATTTCACCAACACTTGATATTTCCCTATCCTTTTTCTTTCAGCCTTTCTGATGGGTGTGTGGCAAACTATTAATTTAAAAAACCAAAAGGAAAATCACACATATTCATACAAATGTCAAGAGGAAAGTATAGGAAGAAATTTTTTTGGCTAGAATTTAAAAATAATTCAACAAAATTTTATTGCATTTCCACTACATTTGGGGGGACTGTGCTAGGCTAACTAGAGACATGGTCCCTTCCTATCAAGAAGCCCAGTCCAGTGAGAGAGTACTAGACATGGGAACTAATAAAAGAATATTGATGAAGAAGCAGTTAATTGTGGTTGAGGACATCAGGGAAAAGCTGGCTAATTTCTGCTTCATTCAAGATGGTGTGCAGGCCGCAGCATCTCCATAAAGGCTTCCAGGACCTTTCTAAAGCTGGCTTAGGTGCCCTCCACTGTGTTTCCCAAAGCATTTTCCTCTTGTTACTTTGGTCCCAGTGCTGGTAATTCTGTTCTGTAAATTTTCTGCTTATGTGTCTCTCTTGCTAGTCCACAAGCTCCTTGAGGTCAGGGATGGACTTTAGAATTGGAACTGAGTGATGATTGACTGAAATAAAGAGAAGAAAAGGCCTCTTGAGTATTCCCAGGGCTTCCCAGTCCTAGTTCAAGCACTTAGTCAGCCCATGTATAAAGTTTACTCTGTAGAAGGGAGAATTGATGTATTAAAGCACAGTGAATTATAACAATCATAAATAAATGTTACAACCAAGATCCATTTTCATCTATTAAACGAACCAAGATTTTTATAAAGCGCACAGTAAAACTGGAGACCTCATGGGCTAGGATTGTGGCTCAGTGGTAGAGCACTTGCCTAGCATGCGTGAGGCACTGGATTTGATTCCCAGCACCATAAAAAATATTAATAAAGGTGTTGTGTCCATCTGAAACTAAAAATAGATATTAAAAAACACTGGAGGCCTCATGTTCTGCTGATTGAGTTATTATCTGGACAATCACAGTGAGATAGGCAATTGACAATATATACAAACAACCTTAAAAGTGTTCCTGCCTGACTGAACAGACACTTCACAGAAGAAATACAATCGATCAAAAAACATATGAAAAATTGTTCATCATCCCTAGCAATTAGAGAAATGCAAATTAAAACTACTCTAAGATTTCATCTCACTCCAGTCAGAATGGAAATTATCAAGAATACAAGCAATAATAAGTGTTGGAGAGGATGTAGGGGATGCATTGCTGGTGGGACTGCAAATTGGTGCAACCACTATGGAAAGCAGTAAGAAGATACCTCACAAAACTTGGAATGAATCCACCATTTGACCCAGCTCTCCCACCCCTCGGTTTATACCCAAAGAACTTAAAATCAGCATATTAAAATGACACAGCCACATCAATGTTTATAGAGCTCAATTCACAATAGCTGAACTATGGAACCAACATAGATGCCCTGCAAAAGATGAATAGATAAAAAAAGAATGTAGTACATATACACAATGGAATATTACTCAGCCTTAAAGAAGAATGAAATGGCATTTGTAGGTAAATGTATAGAATTAGAGAATATCATGCTAAGTGAAATAAGCCAATCCCCCAAAACCGAAAGCTGAATGTTTTCTCTGATAAGTGGATGCTGATCCGTAGTGGGGGAGGGGGTAGGGGATAGAGAAGAACGGAGGAACTTTGGTTTGTGTAGAGGGGAGTGAAAAGAGGGGTGGGGCTGTGAGGATTTCTGGGGTTGTAGCTCAGTGGTAGAGCACTTGCCTGGCATGTGCTAGGACAGTAGAATGAGACAGACATTATTACCTTATATACATTTATAGTTATACTACTGGAGTGACTCTTCACCATGTACAGCCAGAAGAATGAGAAGTAGAGCTCCGTTTGTGTACAATATGTCAAAATGCATTCTACTGTAAAATTAATTAACAACTAAAAAATTAATAAAATGCACACACACACTCAAAGAAATGAATGTAGTTCTCCTAGGGGCTTTAAGATTATGTGCTGTTCATAACTTCAATTAAGAAAAAATTTTAAACATATCCTTATCCTGTGAAATTAAGCAGTTTCGTATGTTTAAGTTGTAATTTGTAAATGCCTTGAATTCAAGCTATTTCCTTGTATCTTCCACAACACATAGAAAATTACTTATAATATATGGTTAATATATTTATTAATATATGATTGATAAATATCTTATTAATCCACTATAAAAAGTGTTTCTGCCTATAATATCATAATAGAAATTTTAAGGCTCTGCTTACAGAAAATAATCATAGAAACAAAGTTTTATACAAGATGTTACTTCCAACATTATTACTATTAGGTTTATTTAAAAGGAGGAAGGATTAGGGATTATGATACCCATAGTAAGCTGTTGGGCTGTTGTGGAAAAAATGCCCTTGGAAGCAGAGAGTCCAAACCCCCTGAATTCTCAGCTCACCACCTAAGAGTTATGTGATTGATTTCTAACTTTTGTTTTGTAAAGTGGGAATAATGATATCATATAGTTGTGGTTAATGTGAAAATTATATATTAAATAAAACTCTCTGTACATGATAGCTATCATTTCAACATCTATGAAGAAGAAACAGTTAACCTACAGTTAAGCCCAATACTGCTAGCATTTAATTTTGTGAATTCAACTGTCCCTATTGGGTAATATTTTATTACTTTCCTAGTAAATGCAATTAATCATTGAAAAAGTCCATTTTTCAGCCAAATTTATCAAAGCCTGCGTGAAATATTTTTAAAAAGTTTTTTTTTTTAGTTGTCAGTGAACCTTTATTTTATTTATTTCTATGTGGTGCTGAGAATTGAACCCAGTGCCTCACACATGCTAGGCAAGTACTCTACCACCGAGCTGCAACCCCAGCCCCTGAGTGAAATATTTTAAAGATGTTTTTTTCCTCTAGCATTGAAAAAAAGTGTGGAACACCTTGTTCAGATTATAATTATTTCACCAAAACCCAGGCAGAAGACATTGAAAAAGTTATGGATATTTTTCCTGTTAATTATATTATTCAAATTTCCTATAATGAACATGCATTTCAGAATCAGAAAAATTTTATTAAAAATAAATTGAAAGGCAAAGGCAATCACGGTGCAAAACTAAATGAGAGGAGAGAATTTGAGAGGAGCAATGTGGTTGATAACAGTCCTGCTGTTTGACACAGATAAAGTTTGTCTGATGTGGGGTGAAACTTCCTCTTGGTTTCTTTTCACAAATTTAGATTCTGGCTGATAATAGAACCACAAATGGCCCAAAGGACTCAAAAAACTTTCCAAATATTATTTTGTTAGTTGATGCTCACAATTTTTATAGGCAATCACATTTGTGAAATTCTGAAACTCACAAGAGGGGATCCACTTTCAGGGAATCAGGGACTAGTACAGCTTGGGTTTCTCACAAGCTAGACCCACTACTCATGTAGGGATCTAAAGAGAGCCTCTAGTCTTAAAATCATAGGAATCCTTCCTAGCAAGATTAATAAATAGCCCTATTGAATTAAACTGTTTCGTTCTTGTACCATTGCTGATGTTCAGAGGAACAGTTGCTTATATAATAATTGTTTAATGTATTTCATTGGAGTTTAATTATATTTATGGTTTACTTATTTATTTTCACAAAAAATTGGGGCTAATGTGATGATTTGTTTCTGTTTGATAAGGGACAAAGTTGTTTGGTATCTTTATGTGACAAGAAAATGACATGGGGAATGATTTAAATTACTGCTTATAATAAAGATACAAATTCTTTGCATTTGATACTAATAAAGCGTTTAGAAATGATATCTTAAATGAATATGTCATTCAGTT